CTTTAAGCTGAACTTCCTCAACACGGAGCACACCTCCCCAATCTCCACCCCACACACCACACCCATGACTCCTGCAGGCTCTTGGCTGTAACAAAGCAAACGAGTGAAACTGAAAGTGAAACTTAAACTGTCTGCTGAGCTCTCAACATTAGTTCTCACTCAATGAAGCTTTTTTCAGATTAAAAATACCTTTGGGGAAATGTATTTTCAGATGCCAAGTAAACTGCATCATKGCGCACGCACAAAACCCCCGCCCCGCGCACGCACGAGCCCCCCGCGTGCGAACCTTTTAAATGGGTTAGCCCCATCTTATCGATGTGATCTCCTTAACATCCACACTCCCATAAGAGCACTCTGGTCAACCAGACCAAGATCAAGGTTTAAACGTGGAAGTGATCGAGCATTCGCCATGGCCRCCCCAAGACTTACTGCTCAGACTATACAATCATTTAAATCTCAGCTGAAAACTCAACAACTGATTATATATGAGACTCTTGTTTGTTTTAAATCTTAACTTTATGTTTTATTTACTTTTATTACTGTTTTTATTCTATCTACGCTTTAATGATTGTGGATGTAACTGTGAAGCACTTTGTTTGTTGTACATTTAAAAACATCTGTTTACCAAATTTGATATTGACCTTTATGCTGATGTTTGCTAAATATGAAGCTTTACTGTGATTGTTAAATTCTCTTACTGTGATGAATTGGAAGGGGAGTATGCCTCAAACATGTATTGGATGCTGGGCTGCTCGGGGAGCTGCAGGTCTCGCACGTGGGCAGCGTACTGCTGGCCGGGGTCGTACAGTTTGCTGCTCTCACACAGAGTCTGGTAATGGACCGGCAGTGCCACCGTCTGCATGTGCATGAGCTGATAGTAGGAGATGGTCGCCTAGAGGAGGAAGATTGAGAAATAAAAAGGATTTTTAGCACTAAGGCTACAGATATCACCAAACATTTTTTTCATTTTTCAATTCTAAGGTTTAAAAAATGTATTTTATACATATGGGGTACCAAGTGCAAAATAAAATGTAAAAATATATATATATATATCTAACACATTTTCATTATTTAGCTCACTTTCCATGTGTAAAGTAAGCTAAACAATTTTGTTATTAGCTCACTGTTCTTACATTTTAAATTTATTTTTTATGAAATGTTAAGCCTAAATTTTAAATGTATGTAATTATTAGATCAAAATGTAAAAACTAAATTTTAAATGTAAACTTCAACATTTAGCTACAACATTTAAGTATTTCAGAATGGAATGCKCTCGTTATGACATCCTGTGACAAAACCAACCGCTAACACTTCTCTACAAGACATCAAATTTGCAGTTGCAGTCCAAGCTGGACGTCAAACATCAAACAAGTATCATCCATATTGTTTTTAATGAACACATTTTGAACTTAGGAATTAAAATGCCATCTTCAGCAGCATTAGCAGTTGATTTTGTCGCAGCATGATGATGTCATTAAAAGAGCAAAGCACCAACAAAGGCTGTGTTCCATTCTGAAATACTTAAATGTAAACTTCAGCATTTAAGTACTGTATTCTTAAGTTAAGCCTAGTTAGGACTCCAACCAGTGTACTTCGGTTTGGGAAAGCTCTCATCACCCTGACAAGGAAAACTAAGATTTGGGCCATTAATCAGTTCCTGTGCCTGTCTACAGTCCRTCAGCTCCCTCCATCGGACTGAGTGTTGACGTCTAATCCAGGCCTGTAGGGCAGTCCTACAGACTGTTGTTGAGATGCGTACAACAGACTCTGATCCTTTGAAGTGGGCCTGACTTCCAGCTTTTGCAAGAGTCAACTCTCTCATTACCATTAATGCCAGTGTGTTCTAATACCAATTTAACAATACATTTTATCTCTCCCCAGTTGGTTGACTGCCTCGGCACACTCCCAAGCCAGTAATGACGTAAAGTGTGGCCCTTGGAGAGCTCTAATAGCAGCTTGGCTATCTGTCAGGATGAATGTTTCTTTCTGTGTACACTGAAGGTCTTTGTGAGATGTTTCCACTGGTGGATTGTGTTCATCTTGGCTTGAGGTTAGGGCTGCCACAAACCATTATTTTTATAATCGATTAATCACAGATTATTTTTTTCAATTAGTCGACCAATCGGATCATAAGTTAATTGAATATAAAACATAGAGCTTATCAAACCAGAATGCAGCTGCTATTATAGAACCATCGTTAGATTTTAGCTATATGCTAACTAAAAATAATTTCTGTGGAAGGCAAGTTCTACTCTGCAGATATTACATACACAGGTTTCTCTTTCATTTTCTTAAAATGATGCCACACTTTTGAGCTCCGTTGTCAGGTAGCCATGATACCAGAGCCTGTCTGTATAATGTCTTGTGACGTCCACGGCCTACCCCAGTTGCCACTACTGTGCATGTGTGTCAAGGACAGAAAGGCAGATGTGGCAGTGGAAGGTGTCAAAGCAGTTTGGAGAGAAAAACAAAGTAAAGAACAAAAAAAATGATTAATCGATTATTAAATTAGTCATCGATTATTTTAATAATCGATTAGTTGTCGATTAATCGTTGCAGCCCTACTTGAGGTACAGTTGCAAAAACACCTAGCGTGTATCTCTACTCTCTCACTGTACTTGTAATCTTACTGCACTGGATGCAGCCTCCCCTAAGATATGTAAATCTTGTGGAGCCAGGACCAGTGGGACTTCAAGGACTGCCGCTGTACTGTGATGGCGCACACCTGTATACTCCACAGCAACAAACTGCCAAAATGTCTGCTTTTATAAAAAGGTAATTAGACTGGTTACAATTAGTTAATCATCATGTTTGATCAGGAGAGCCTGGCTCTACTTTCTCTCTTAAATCCTACAGAAGCAGAAAGTGTGGACTTCCTCCACACTCCTTTTCCATTTTGAATTTATTTTAGTTYAATAATTAATGATGTGGTGCAATCGTTGTTGTACAATAAACATTGAGTTTAAATAAACTGGTTTCAGTTTAGTTTCTTTTAGATTATGCCCCGATACATGAAAAAGAGACTTGTGGGTTTGTTGTGTTTGTTCTGACCGAGCGGAGCGTCTGGTCGCTCTGCTTGATGACGTCCTGCAGCTGCCTCAGCACCGTGACCTTTGTGTGCTCCAGCTCCAGCTGCTGAGTGGTGGCATCAGCTATACAAGTACGGTAGGTGGCCTCCGCCTCATCTGCCTGTGAACACACACGTTGAGTTTTACTMCTTCAGTTCTCCCTTTCCATCTACATCTCAACATAGCTCCAAGAAAACAAACTTRTTGTTGAAACCTTGTTGCGAGCTTCTTCTTCCACTCGTTTTTTCTTCTCCAGAGATTTTGCCGTTGATCCACCTCCCTCCTCCTCCGCCCGGCAGGCTGCCGTTTTGGCCTTCTCGTACTCCTCGCAGCGGGCCATGTAAATCTGCTTGGCTTTTCGCAGGTTTGTCTCACACTCCATCTGAGCAACCACCGCACCGAAACACACGCACGTGTTTTCATATCTCAGGGAAGAAAATCAAATTTCKRTGTGTAAAAGKATCAAAGGTCGTACCAGTTTTCTCTTTGCTCGAATCCACAGCTCCTTGATCTCCTTCCGCTTCTTCTCGTGCTCCTGTTTGCGCTGCATCAGAGGCTGTGCAGGAAGAGTCGCATGTAAGGTTAAAGTCAAAGACTGAAGCTAAAAGATATGAGGCGCCGAGTGTAAAATAAAATGTTAAAAAAATGTCACTAACTAGTTTTCATTATTTAGCTCACCGAGTGTAAAATCATAATTAAAAAACTCCACTAATATTAAATTGTTATTTGGCTCAATTTTTACTAAATATTCAATTTAAAATGTTAATATATGTAAATATTAAATCCCAAATCTAAACATAAAAATTAAATCTTAAATATTGAAGTTTACATTTAAGTATTTCAGAATAGAACTCAGCCTTTTGACACTGATGCATGTCTGCTGTGACATCATCATCCTGCGACAAAAACAAACGCTAACGCTGCTGAAAACGATATTTAAAACGTAAATTCAAAACGTGACATTTTTTGACTTTTCATTTTAAACTCGACACCTCATAGAAAGAGGCTGAGTTTGTGTCACAGGTACCTGGATGAAGGTCTGGGTGTGCAGGGTAGTGTTGGCCTGCTGCAGACCCACACTCTGCTCCTGATCCTGCTCCAGAGCAAGAGAGTAGATGGAGAACAGCGGCATGTGGGGCTGTAAGGAGCAAACAATGAGGTTTTATTTTAGATCACAGAAGATTTTTTAAAATGTCAAAATGCTTTTTCTTAAATGAAGATGTTAATATTTACATGTGTTATGCTGTGCTTGCAGGAGTGATAAAGCCTCTGGAGTCCTTTGGAGAACTCAGCCTCTGTCAAACAATTTTTTTAGCATCAATGTGCACAAAATAATTAAAAAAAAACAATTTAATTTTGATTTTGCGTTAGATACATTTATCCACTAAAAATCTAAACCTGTGGCGCTTCCACTCACCCAGTGAAGTTCTCTTTTCCACGTAACTCATGAGGTCCTTCATGTACTTGGAAATGGTCTTGGCATAGAGCAGAGCAGAGTCCACCCCACCCTCGCTGCGCTGCAGCATCACATCCACTTCCTCAACTCTGCCTACGTATCAACACAGCAGCACTCAGCACGATACAGGAACAAACTTGGTCTTTGTGGTAATAATCTGCTTGTATTGACTCATTTGTAGGAAGGGCAAGGTTCACAACAGCAAAAAAGAAAATTTGGGAACCTTTAACCTTTTTTATACTCGAAGTTTAAAGTCACATTATTGCTCAGCAGAGGAGCACAAAACCCAAGTGAAGCTGTTCTGTTTTTATTTATTTTTTATAGCATTTTAATTTTTTCTGCCGTAAATAAAAGTTGTACTGCAGGAGTTTTAGGATGATATTTACATGGTAGTCAACTGGGCTCACATAAATACTTATGTGTCCACCTAAAGGGACACCATCAAGGTTTTTGAGTTTTGTCATGTAACTTTTAAACCACGCGTCACAGAAGGGAACGTGGTGAAGTCCCGGGGGGGCAACTCAGGCACCCAGTGGTACCAACCGCATACAAAAAAAACACGGGAAAGGGGGGTGGGGGGTATGTTCAGACACGGACCCGTGCGGGTCAGTGTTTAGAAGGGGGTATTTCCACCATATCTGTAAAAAAGGTGTATCTTTTTACACTTGTGCTTCTTTCTGGGCTGGACTTGACTGATCTACTGAGTAAATCCCCCTCCTCCCTCCCGTTAGTTTTAACCAGGGGCGTGGTGGCAATATGGACGTTTGGTAAGATTCCCAAACCGCCGGTCAGTTCAATACCAAATGCAGCTGGACCCTTCTTCATAAAACAGTGCTGCCGCTCAGCTCCCGCGTCGTACCCGGTGAGACAGTTAAACACAAGGCAAGCAGCCCATCCCAACTTGAAGTTGAAAAAAATTAAAATAAGATGCGGAGAGCGGGTAAAAAACATGCCGAAAAGAAAAGAAAAGAGAAAGAGTTGGATGGAGCAGAAAAGCTAACGGGCAGAAAAAGAAAGGGTTAGAGGAAGATGCAGCCAAATTAACAGACCTTTTCCGTGATGGAGGAGGGACCAAATCATGAGTACAGGTTAGCAAACACTGCATGTTCCTACCATCCAGACTTGGTTTATATGTTTCTGGATGTGTTCAGGGCTCASAGAACATTATCAGGAAGGTTTCACCATTCCTGCATAAATCTTTATTCTGCTTTTTCAACTATACAGCTAGTTTTGCTCAAGAAAATTGTATTGCAGTGAATATGATCTCTCTCTCTCTGTGTGTGTGTGTGTGTGTGTGTGTGTATGTGTGTGTGTGTGTGTAGAACTGTCCTTATGTTGTAGGCCTATTTGCACTGAACTCTTTGCAAAAGTGCTGTAAAATCATGTATCATTGCTGTTTATTTATTGGTAGCTGAAAAGGCCAGTCAGTCAAGGAGTTTGATGCCAGTCACAGAAGAGGAGGAGGAGGAAGGGACAGATGAACAGGGTGAGGAGGAGCAGGAGGAGCAGGAAAGAGGAGCAGGAACCACTWAAAAGCAGTGCCAGGCACATGTGCAGTGTGCAGAACTGAGTTTATGATGGGTCTTTGTAAAATATATTAATGTGCTAAGATCTGAGGATTGTAGTATAAATCTAGTCTTTTTGACATCTGAAAGAGGCTGAAAGTTCCACAGTTTCCCTTCACCATGTATTTTTCTTTCTTCTGACTGATCTATAAATGAGTTTTATCCAGTAATTATTCACTCTCACCAGCCCGATGATCTAAACTGATTTTAATACTTTTGTGAATGTTCCCAAATGTGTACAAGGTAAAATAATTAAAATCTACATCTTTATCCACAAACAAAGGAGACTCACTCTGGATAAAAATATTTCACCAAATCTTTCAGGAGAAATTGAGTATATGTTTGAGGGGAAATTATTGATCTTTTTCATGTTCTTGTGAAAAAGATTATTTTGGATTAAAATGCTGTGGTCTGAAGAGGCTCCTTCAGTCACACAGAAACATTAAGCCTATATTCACCTCTGCAAGTTATGCTAGTGGCTTTCTGAATTAGACATCTGACTTATTTTCCAGTGTTAATAAGCTATTTATAATCTAGATTATTACAGATTTTCTTTTCATGCAGATAAAGCAGCACAAGATACAGGGATGGATGGATGGATGGATGGATGGATGGATGGATGGATGGATGGATGGATGGATGGATGGTTCTTACAAGTCTTGTCTCAGTTACAGCATAGGTCGTAATATAACCC